CTTTGATGCCTAAGACAGTGCTAGAACTCACCATCTCCTGGTGATTGGCCCAAAGTCACCCAGCTGCCTTTGATGCCTAAGACAGTGCTAGAACTCACCATCTCCTGGTGATTGGCCCAAAGTCACCCAGCTTCCTTTGATGCCTAAGACAGTGCTAGAACTCACCATCTCCTGGTGATTGGCCCAAAGTCACCCAGCTACCTTTGATGCCTAAGACAGTGCTAGAACTCACCATCTCCTGGTGATTGACCCAAAGTCACCCAGCTTCCTTTGATGCCCAGCTGGGACTAGAACTCACCGTCTCCTGGTGATTGGCCCTGAGTCACTCAACTGCCTTTGATGCCAAGGTGTATACTAGAACTCTCCTGCTTTCTAGCTTGGTGCCTTCTCTCCTAGACCAAACTGATACTAAAAGGACAGTAACACTGGGAGAACATTTAGGACATAAAGAGCTGTTTCAGGCTCATTGGTGCTTTATTTTCCTTGCTATGCTCCTGCCTCTTCCCAAGATCCAGCAATGAAACACTCCAGCGCGTTCACACACCGCCTGAAGTTCGTTGTGGCTATGCTGTGCTATGCTCTTCTTGTGAGCCCTTCCTTGGAAGGGAGATGAGCATGCCAGCTGGAGAATTCTGGGAATTTAGCTCCATGGGTCTTAAAAGTGGCTGAGGTCGAGAAATATCGATAGAAATGATGTAATACATAATTAAAATGTATAATTCAAGCAAGACGTTTCATAAAACATATAGCAGGACGAATTATTTCAGCGGGCAAAACATTCAAACAGTGGAACTTAGCCAGCTGAATTAATTCATTAATTCAAACAGCTTGTTTAGTGACTGTTCAGTTAACAACATCATTGGAAAAAAGGGACTTAGGGCAGTTATTCACCCTGACAACCGTTGCAGCATCCCCGAGGTCACGTGATCAAAATTTGGCTGCTTGGCAACCGATTCCTATTTATGACGGTCGCAACATCCCGGGAGGTTCTCTGGTCCTCTTTTGCGCCCTTCTGATAAGCCAAGTCAACGGGGGACTCCATGTTCACTTGACAATCTTGTGACTAACAACTGTAGTGAATCCCTTAACAGCCGTGGCAAGAAAGGTCATAAAGTGGGGCAAAATTCACTTAACGAATGTCTCACTTAGGAACAGAGAGGCTGGTCTCGGATCGAGGTCGTAAGCCGAGGACTAGCTATAGTTTTGGGAGAATGAAAATTGCAAGAACGGCGGCATTGAGGGGGGCCTCAGGAATGTGTTGCAGAGTTGGGGGGGCTACCAGTGAAATGTTAGACCCCCCCCCAGAGCCACCTCTGCCTTCGAGCAAAAGCCCCTGACGCCTGCTGATTCTTTGGGGAGACAGACTCCCTTCTCTTTGAGCAACCATTGGTGGTGATGGAATGCGTTCCTGACAGTGAGGACGATTAACCAGTGGAACAGCTTGCCCCCAGAAATAGTGGTCGCTCCATCACTGGAGGTTTTTAAGAAGAGGCTAGACATTCACCTGAGACGGTATAGGTTCTGCTTGAGCAGGGGGCTGGACTAGAAGACCTCCAAGGTCCCTTCCAGATTCTATTCCTATTCCTATTCCTATTACATTCTATTCTATTCTATTCCATTCCATTCCATATTTTTTATTCTATTCCATTCCATTCCATATTTTCTATTCTATTCCATTCCATATTTTTTATTCTATTCCATTCCATTCCATATTTTATATTCTATTCTATTCCATTCCATTCCATTCCATTCAATTCCATATTCTATTCTATTCCATATTCTATTCTATTCCATATTCTATTCTGTTCCATTCCATTCCATTTTCCATTCCATTTTCTATTCTATTCTATTCTATTCTATTCTATTCTATTCTATTCTATTCTATTAATACAAGCTGCATCCATCAAAGGCATGTTTTAATCCCTTTATTCAATGTATATGACACCCATCTCCCTTTTCAAAGCAGCTCTGGGCGGCTTAACAGTACAGGTCCTTGATTTACGACCGCGATCGAGCCCAATTTTTTGGTTGCCAAGCGAGACATTCTGTCCCCTTTTACGACCTTTCTTGCCACGGTGAATCCCTACAGCTGCTAAGTGAGGAACAGGGTTGTTTGGTGAATCCGGCTTCCCCGTTTTGACTCTGCTTGTCGGAAGGTCGCAAAAGGAGGATCACGTGATCCTGGGACGCTGCAACCGTCATAAATGTGAGTCGGTTGCCAAGCGTCTGAATTTGGATCACGTGACCACAGGGGGCGCTACGACGGTCGTTAAATGTGAAAAACGCTTCTTTTCAGTGCCGTTGCAACTTCGAATGGTCGCTAAACGAGCTGTTGTAAGTCGAGGACTACCTGAACCGTAACACGGTTTTTATCTTAGGAAGTTTTCCAAGAGAAGGACAACCTCAACCAGCGCTACCACCGCAAGAGGGCCCTCTACCTGGCCCACCTGGCCCAGCACCTGGCCAAGGGGAACCACTTTGGGAGTGTGGCCTTTGCCTACGCGAACGGCAACCATTTGAAGCCCCTTGTGCTCCTCCAGCCACAAGGTAAGGGGGTGGTGGGTTTGCGTGGGTGTGTGTGAGGAGGGCAAAGCATTGTGCACACTTGTTGCTAAAACTGAGGAAGCGAAAGAGCTGTTGAGCGGAGGAATCAGGCAGCTCTCCTGGCAGGCTTAGAGGAGATGTTTGCTATCCTCTTCTTCCAGGACTTGTTTGGACTTCCTTCCTTCCTTTCCTTCCTTCCTTTCCTTCCTTCCTTCCTTCCTTCCTTCCTTCCTTCCTTCCTTCCTTCCTTCCTTCCTTCCTTCCTTCCTTCCTTCCTTCCTTTCCTTCTCTTCCTTCCTTCCTTTCCTTCCTTTCCTTCTCTTCCTTCCTTCCTCCCTCCCTCTCTTTCTTTCTTTCCTTCCTTCCTTTCCTTCCTCCCTCCCTCCCTCCCTCTCTCTTTCCTTCCTTCCTTCCTTCCTTCCTTCCTTCCTTTTCTTCCTTCCTTCCTTCCTTCCTTTCCTTCTCTTCCTTCCTTCCTTCCTTTCCTTCCTTCCTTCCCTCTGTTCCTTCCTTTCCTTCCTTCCTTTCCTTCCTTCCTTTCCTTCCTTCCTTCCTCCCTCCCTCTCTCTCTTTCCTTCCTTCCTTCCCTTCCTTCCTTCCTCCCTCCCTCCCTCTCTCTCTTTCCTTTCCTTCCTTCCTTTCCTTCCTCCCTCCCTCCCTCCCTCTCTCTTTCCTTCCTTCCTTTCTTTCCTTCCTTTCCTTCCTTCCTTTCTTTCCTTCCTTCCTTCCTTTCCTTCCTTCCTTCCTTTCCTTCCTTTACTTCCTTCCCTTCCTTCCTTCCTTCCTTCCTTTTCTTCCTTCCTTTCTTTCCTTCCTTCCTTCGTTCCCTCTGTTCCTTTCCTTCCTTCCGTCCTTCCTTCCTTTCGTTCCTTCTGTTCCTTCCCTTCTGACTTTCTTCCTTCTTGTCTCCTTCCTTCCCTCCCCCTCCTTCCCTCCCCTCCTTTCCCTTCTCCCTTCGTATCTCCTTCCTTTCTTCCCTCCCTTTCTCCCTTCCCTTTTGACTCTTCCTTCCTTCCTTCCTTCCTTCCTTCCTTCCTTCCTTCCTTCCTTCCTTCCTTCCTTCCTTCCCCTCCTTTTCCCGTTTCCCTTTCTTTCTGACCCATCCATCCATCCATATCAGCCTGGCCCTCATCCAAGTACGAAATACCAGGGCGCATCCTTCTTAATGTCTGAGACTTTATAACAGTGGTTCTCAACCTGTGGGTCGGGACCCCATTTGGGGTCGATCGACCATTTCATGGTCACCAAGCAAGGCTGTCTGCCATTTTTTTTGTCCGCCGTTTTTTCCCCCTTTTCCGGCGGGTGCCTTACCTCCCTTGAGCTGGGCCAGCTGGTGGTCGGCCTGCTCCGTCTCTGCCGCTTGCCAGCTACGCCTTGGCCGGCGCAGGGGGCGGAACCACACATGCGCGGCGCTCCCGGGCAGGGAAAGTCCTCGACTTACGACCGGTTTAGTCCTCGACTTACGACCGGTTTAGTCCTCGACTTACGACCGGTTGGGGTCACGGCATTAAAAAGGTTGAGAACCACTGCTTTATAACATCCACTCTGGCCTTCCCAACACTAAGACCGATTCCCATCATTTGGGGCTTTTAAAGGCTTGTTTTCAGATAATAATAATAATAATAATAAAGTTGGAAGGGACCTTGGAGGTCATCGAGTCCAACCCCCTGCGGTCCGTCCTTGGGATGTGGTAAAGTCTGTTTGCCGACAGGTCAGAGAAGAATTTTTGAAGGTCACAACCTCGTAAGTGGTGAAGACCTCCGTCCAACAAGGTGACCAATTAACAAGATTGACAGTCCTTCAAAGTCCTTAGTTCTAAGTTGCTTCTCTCCTTGATCAGTTTCCACCCGTTGCTTCTTGTCCTGCCTTCGGGCGCTTTGGAGAATAGCTTGACTCCCTCTTTTTTGTGGCAGCCCCTGAGATATTGGAAGACTGCTATCATGTCCCCCCTCATCCTTCTCTTCATTAAACTAGACATACCCAATTCCAGCAGCCTTTCCTTATATGCTTTAGTCTCCAGTCCCCTAATCATCTTTGTTGCTCTTCTCTGTACTCTTTCTAGAGTCTCAGCATCTTTTTTACATCGTGGTGACCAAAACTGGGATTCTGATTGTCTCTCTCTCTCTCTGTGTGTGTGTTTGTGTGTAACAAGTATATTTTCAACAGCGTCCACATTGCTAATTCTCCTGTTTTATTCTCTTCCTCCCCGTCTGTCTCCGGGGTTGTTGCAGGGAAGGATGCAAAGACGGTGACGGTCCGCCTCCATGCCTGCCCAGCCCCAGGGGTCTTCAGGCCCATCCGTTTGCACCCCTGCAAAAACAACATCCGTACTGCTTGGTTCACGGAGAAGGACTCACCTGCGACAGGTAAACTTTGAAGAAGTGCAGGCGGGGTTTCTTAGCCTGGACAATTTTAAGATGGGTGGACTTCAGTTCCCAGGATTCTGCCTGGGGAATTCTGGGAATTGAAGTCCACCCATCTTAAAGTTGCCATAGTTGAGAAACACTGAGTTAGGGGGTACCATTTCGGACAAATGGCTGTCCAGTCTCTTCTTAAAAACTTCCAGTGTTGGAGCATTCACCGCTTCTGGAGGCAGATTGTTCCACTGGTTAGTTGTTCTCTCTGTCAGGAATCCCCCATTACTATTGTGATGTGCTTCCTAGATACCTTAAGATAGCTGACTAGCAAAAAATTCATCTATTTCCTCTGGTTGGTTGGGTGGCCTATATATACATTGCCTATGGCAATGTCATTTTTTCCTCCTTTTATATTGACCCAAATGCATTCAAGACAGTTTTCATCATTGTTGTGCTCTATTTCTGTAGAGAGGTAGTTATTTCTTATATAGAGAGCAACTCCACCTCCTCTTTTGTTTGGTCTGTTCCTTTTAAATAATTTAAATCCCTCTCGCCGTGTGTTCCATTTGTGGGTTTCATCCCACCACGTTTCCGTAATGGCAACAATATCATGTCTGCCCTCATTTACCTGAATTTCTAGTCCACCCTGTTTGCTGTTCATACTCTGTGCATTGGTGTATAGACATTTGAGTCCTTTATGATTGACCCTGTGTTTACTTTCTACATAACCTGTGTGGTGCCTGAGTTCCCCTATTGTCTTACCCCCTATTTGGTTAGTGCACTTTGTGTGGCACTCGCTATTAGAAGCTTGGTTTTGCTTGACAGCAAGGTTGATAGTCTTGTCCACACACACATCTGGACATCTTGGAATACTGCATCCAGTTTTGGTCACCGCGCTATAAAAAAGATGTTGAGACTCTAGAAAGAGTATAGAGAAGAACAACAAAGATGATTAGGGGACTGGAGGCTAAAGCATATAAGGAATGGTTGCTGGAATTGGGTATGTCTAGTTTAATGAAGAGAAGGACGAGGGGGGACATTATAGCAGCCTCCCAGTATCTCAGGGGCTGCCCCAAAGAAGAGGGAGTCAAGCTATTCTCCAAAGCGCCTGAAGGCAGGACAAGAAGCAACGGATGTAAACCGATCAAGGAGAGAAGCAACCTAGAACTAAGGAGAAACTTCCTGACAGTTAGAACAATTAACCAGTGGAACAACCTGCCTCCAGAAGCGGTGAATGCTCCAACACTGGAAGTTTTTAAGAAGAGACTGGACAGCCATTTGTCCGAAATGGTATAGGGTTTCCTGCCTGAGCAGGGGGTTGAACTAGATGACCTCCAAGATCCCTTCCAACTTTACTATTATTATTATTATCATCTATGTTACATGCACTGATAATCCTATAATTTTTAGATTGCCTTTAGATTGCCATAATCCTTGACTCATGACCACAATTGAGCCCAAACTTTCCGTTGCTAAGCAAGAGATTTTTTCCTCATTTTACGACTTTTTGTGCCACAGTTGTTAATAATACAGTCGTTAAGTGAATCTGCCTTTCCCCCATTGACTTTGCTGGGTCAGAAGGTCACAAAAAGGGGGAATCACGTGATCCCGGGACACTGCGACCGTCATAAATACGAGTCAGTTGCCAAGCGTCTGAGTTTTGATCACATGACTCCGGGACACGGCAACCGTCATAAATATGAACCAGTTGCCAAGCGGCCGAATTTTGATCACGTGACCCCGGAGATGCTGCAATGGTCGTAAGGGTGGAAAACGATCATAAGTCACTTCTCAGTGCTGTGGTAACTTCGGACGGTCACTAAATGAACAGTTGTAAGTCGAGGACTCCCCTGTATCTCACCTTGCATTTGTTTTGCATGCTGTTGCTGCTGACTTCCTCCACCTAGACAGGAAGTTGGTCCGAAGCCTCCTTTGTCCTCCTCCAGGTGAGATGGGCGTCGGCATCCCATCCCTCTTTGCTTCTTTCCAGGAGTAGCTGAACCCCCCACCCCCCATTACAACAACTCCATTTTGTGGGACCTGGTGATGGAGACCAACCTGCTCTACCTCTCCGAGGCCGCCAGCACCTTCCGAGGCTTCCAAGATGGGGTGGCCCTCCTCAAAGTTTGGCTCCGCCAGCGAGAGCTCTATCAGGTAATCCGGCTGACTTGGTCAACCCACAGAAGTCTTGAGGTTTCTTCTAACACGAAGTATTATCTGGGACGCTACACATCCTCTTCACAACCTGTTTTCCTTGTTACCTGCTGGGAGGAGATGAGGGGGAGGGGGTGGTTTGTGGTATCTGAAGCAGAACATCCAGATTTAGTCACAGTTTTGTTCCATGCAGCATCAACCTTGTGAACCAATTTAGGTCACCATGCTACAAAAAAGATGTTGAGACTTTGGAAAAAGTTCAGAGAAGAGCAACTAAGATGATCCAAGACCTGGAGACTAAAACATACGAAGAACAGCTGCAGGAGGAAGGAGAAAGGAAAGATGGAGGGAAGGGGCAGGAAGAGGAGGAGGAGGAAGACTGTGTGGTCCTTGGTGCTGTTGGAGCAGGGTTATTTTCTTGCAGACGTTTCATGACCCAACTAGGTAACATCATCAGTGCTAGAAGGGAGCGGGATTTGCTCTCTGTTTATAGAGAAGTGATTTGACCTGTCTCTACTCCCTCCAAGCACTGATGATGTGTCCTAGTTGGGTAATGAAATGCCTGCAACCAAACATCAGGGACCCCACTAATAACAACAACAACAATAATAAAGTTGGAAGGGACCTTGGAGGTCATCTAATCCAACACCCTTCTCAGGCAGAAAACCCTACACCATTTCAGACAAATGGCTGTCCAGTCTCTTCTTAAAAACTTCCAGTGTTGGAGCATTCACCGCTTCTGGAGGCAGGTTGTTCCACTGATTAATTTTTCTAACTATCAGGAAATTTATCCTTAGTTCCAGGTTGCTTCTCTCTTTGGTCAGTTTCCATCCGTTGCTTCTTGTCCTGCCTTCAGGCGCTTTGGAGAATAGCTTGACTCCCTCTTCTTTGGGGCAGCCCCTGAGATATTGGAACACTGCTATCCTGTCCCCCCTCGTCCTTCTCTTCATTAAACTAGACATGCCCAATTCCAGCAACCGTTCCTTATATACTTTAGCCTCCAGTCCCTTAATCATCTTTGTTGCTCTTCTCTGTACTCTTTCTAGAGTCTCAACATCTTTTTTTCATCGTGGTGACCAAAACTGGATGCAGTATTCCAAGTGTGGCCTTACCAAGGTCTTGTAAAGTGGTATTAATACTTCACGTGATCTTGATTCTATCCCTCTGTTAATGCAGCCCAGCACTGTGCTGGCTTTTTTGGCAGCTACTCTGGATTAGGAATTGTAGACAGGAAAAAGGGAAGATGTGATCTGCATGTCGAAAGTTGAGATCAGTTTGTGTTCTATGCAAACAAGTTGTACTATACCCAAGCATTAGGTCCCAGTTCTTTTTATGCATCTTTGGCTGTGGAGGGGAAGGTATGTGTTTGTGTTGACTTTTTACTTTCTTCCAGGGTCTGGGATGTTTCAACGGCTTCATTGCATCCATGCTGGTGGGAAACCTCTTGGCCACTCACAAGATCAGCAAAATGATGAGTGGGTACCAGGTGTTACGAAACGTTCTCCATTTCTTAGGTAAGTTGCCAGAAACGTTGTGATGTTCAGCCGGGAGGCTGTTCAGACCAAGCCGGTGCCTGACGCTAAATGGGGAACTCTGGATTCTTTGGGTCTGATCTGCCACTGTTCAGACGTGGGGCTAAATCTCAGATGGAGTCAGCAGGGAGGGAGGAACGAGTGTTCTTTTTTTATTATTATTATTTTCCCTCTGGGAAGAAGAGGGAATATGCAATTTTCTCTGAAATGCTAAGATTCTCCATGTAAAAAGTGCAGCAGAAAAATACCCAAGTGTCAGAATAAAGAAGCTACATGGGAATCTAGAGAAACAAATCCTTTGGCAGATATAATGTAGTTCAGAGGAGTGTGACTAGCTGTGGTCCTTCCTTCCCCCCTCCCTCTCTCCTTTCATCTTTCCCCTCCTACCTGTCCCTTCCTCCCTGCCTGCCTCCCTCCCTCCCTTCTGTCTTTCCTTCCTTCCTTTCCCCCCTCCCTCTCTCCTTCCCTCCTCCCCTTCCTTCTGACTTTCCTATCCTTCCTTCCTTTCATCTTTCCCCTCTTACCTGTCCCTCCCTCCCTCCCTCCCTTCTGTCTTTCCTTTTCTTTCCTTCCTTCCTCCCTTCCTGTCCCTCCCTTCTGTCTTTCCTTCCTTCCCCT